TAGAACTGGCGAGCAAGCAGTTCTGTTTTTGCATATGTTATGCAGTATCACCAATGTAAACTGARCGAGATATATTCAATGTTTTTCATTGATCCATTTTCAATTAATTTGCAAATAATAATAAACACTACACGTACAGTACGCATTATATGTGCATATAAAGTATTAACCATGCATTTTGGTGTTATTTTTATCATGTTGTCCTGTTCTTCATTTTGGTGTTCTAAAGTGATATTAAAGCTCAAGTGGTGCATGTACACCATTATGGACATGCATATTCATTCATATCGACCTTTCCTTGTTTATCTAAGATAGATATTACTATGTGGATTAACTACATTTTTCTTATGATTCGGTTTTGCCTGTGCACAGGGGTCATGCGTCGGCCAGGAAGAATCCTCACTAAATTCAAAGTAAAACATTMTTTTTCCTGTATTTTCCGACTTAAAAGCAAATCCTTCTGGATTTGGAGCAAATAGTCCACACACAGCTCGGTTCATCTAGAACAATTTGTTTAATGAATCTGCAATCAAACCTTCCAGTTTTTTTAGAAACAAGGCTGCCTCCAGCAGGAAGACAGGCGACCCAGTTATTGATATTCGACTTGACCAGGAATTCGCTGCCAATTGTTTTCCAGATATTGAAGTCAATGGCGTTCATGTCCGTTTCATTCTTAGGTGGAGTGTTGGATTCTTCCGCAGTRRCACTGCCGAGCATATTCTGTGGTATCGGTTTCATATAGTTTTTGACATTYTTAAAGTCTTCGTACATATTAAAAGTAAAGGACCACGCCAGTGTCCAKCCTCCCCCGTCCGTTTCCATATCGCAGTATCCTAGSAATGGCTCTACTGGRCCGCTCAGGTCTACATCCARCCAATAATTGCCCGATGGCAATATTGGGTAGGACTGCTTCAATTCTCTGCAGTTCTTTACCGGTAGCGCGGATGATCCGCCTATTCCAGTCCATGTTCCTGAACTTGCAATGTCTGGAAAGGAACATATTGTTAATTAGCTTTCATCTCGTTCAGTTTTCTTTCGATTATATTGTCATAATTGTATTGTAGTCCGCCCTATCAAATCACAGAATTTGCGGCTCGATTTTTAAGTTTRCAAGTTACTCGAATTATCTATCAGAATATTTCTTTTCAGCTAGGTTTCAAGTAAATATTGTTTTGCAATACCATGAAATCACTTCATGCCGTGTATTTCAAAAACAATCAACTGTATTCAATGTGTTTTTCAGCCTGATGCGTAATGAATCTAGTCATCTAGTCATCTTCAATCCTTGGTGTGCAAGTTASGTCATCACCGCCATGTTGGATGAAAATCACAACGCATTCCTCATTAGTTTCTCTTGTTCATTCATCCAACATGGCGGCGATAGCTTTGTTCTATATTTCTCAGGGGATTCCTGGTCATGTGGTTGCACACCAAGAATTTACGTGGGAAGAGCATTTTGTAGACAKGTGTTTGATGTAATTTCGATCAATTTTCCTAAGAAAATTGCATTTTTAGTTTCAAGCAACATTTAGATCAATACAAAACTACAGAACTATATATGAATATATATATATATAATTAGAATGAAATTGAACAAAACACCAACTTGACTAAGCTTTAATATCTCTGTTTTAATGGACGTTTTATATMTAAATTTCCTAAGAAAATTCCATGTACAGTACAGTTTCGATCGACAATAAATCAGATCAGCTCAAACTTCAGCTCAAACTCATATATGAATAATTCGATCTGATTTTTTATACATTCTCCTAAATTTTCACAAGAAAATTCCATGTACGGTGCAGTTTCGGGCGATTGRTACAAAAAAAAAATATTTTCAATTTGATTTTTTATACCGTCTGCTAAATTTCTAAACTAAAAATAAAATCTATGTACAGTGCAGTTTCGAAGGAGATCAGTTCAAAACTGCAGGACTAAATATATGAATAATTCGATCTGTTTTTTATATGTACCTTCTTCTTTGTCTGTGTTGAAAAGGTACGTTCCTTCAGTATCATCTTCCATCTTGTCMGGGTGTGAGACATGTGAAGCATAGTTCAGCTCACAAACAGCCTTTGAAGGGTARAAATTCACACTGAAACATTCTTTGTGGTYRTYACATTCYCTGTAACACTGGAAATAGCTGTGGACATCATTGACGACTTGAAATACAAACCCTTGCAGSGTTTTCTTGTTTTTGGATTCGAACAACTCAAATAGAAACTGTTGCTGGGAAAGCTCTCCATGCAATAAAATGGCTATAAAAAGTACCAGCTTCCAACAAAAGATTCCTTTCATCTGTTGAAGAAAAAATARTTTCATGGAAATTGTTTAAGAGCAATTAAAACGCTTATTTCCACATTACATTAGCCGTGTTCTCCGTCTGTTTTCTTTTCTCTTCTTCTAATTTTTCGTGTTCTACTCCTCCGTCTTTTCGTTCGCCATCTTTTTCTTGTTCTTGTTCTACTTATTCTTCTACTTGTTCTAGTGTTCTGGATCTTCTTCTTCTTTTGTTCTCGTTCTTTTTCTTCTTTTTTCCTATGGTCACGTCAAGTTTTCCCCTTGTTGAATTGTTCTTGGTATTCGTCTTCTCTTTTGTGGATTTTTTCTTGTGTGTGCGTGTAATGCTCCTTTCGATATTACATCTTCGATTTCTGAGTCTCTAGCCTCTCACCTTCTTCTCGTTCTTCTCGTCGTTTTATACGATTTTGAAATCTTATGAAGTACTTCGCAAGTGATATATTATTTAAGAATTGGAGCTGAAAGGGGCCAAAGGTACGTGCCACAAAGAAAGTTGACATAAGCTGAATGTAAAGATTAAGCTAGAACAAAGAGCACAATTACATGTTTTTATAGTATTCTATTCACATTTCTCTACATGAGACAGACATACATCTCTATATTGTCTAACAAAAAAAAAAAAACACTTCTAAGTCAAAAAAATGTCCCATGGATTTGGAAATAAACAATAAAATTTGCACATTTGAGTACTAATATGACCTGGATATTTTAGATTCATTTGAGTTTGACATGAGTTCTCTTGAACTATTATGTTACAGTATGCATTGTAGATAAACAACAGTCAGGGCACATATACTATATTCATATTATTTTAATGACATAAATGGTATAGTATTGTGAATATATATGATATCAAAGAGGCAAGATTTTGCTGTAACTCCGAGTTTCGTGCTACGCACTCATCAGACAGTATTTATTTTAGTATTGTGAATATATAAATGTGCCTTATTACTTATACCCGAATATTCAATGACAARTCCTTCCCTAACTACATAATACTCCAATTTCGAGTTCTGGTTTGCTCTGTGTTAGCCTCAAAACCAAGTAACATATTCTTTTGTTTCATAGATAGCTCGAGAAAACGCATGGAATTTTGTAAAGAAAGACAATAGAATTGATTTAAAATCTCACACTTTTATTCTCACAATTAGGAATATTTTGCGCACAAATGAGGCAAACACAGAGCACTGGGAGAATTCGAAACTGGAGTATTGTTAAAACCAAATCTAGGGGCGGATCAGCTGGTGTGTGAAGGGAGGAGAGGGGCGGGAGTGCGAATCATCTCTTAAGAAGAAGCCGATATTAACGATATCAAGCGAGAAGGAGAAAGGACCTGACGAAGTTGACCAAAATGGCAACGAAACGTAGTCGTCAGAACATTGCAATATGTGAGCTGAATAGCSCAAGTAACCAAAACAATGATCTCCTAAGATATTTGTCACATTTKATACTTTACTCCTTTGTKGCACTTTTTTACAATGTGCATTACGTCCTCGAGTGCCTCGCACCCCTCCYGGRAGACGTTCTAGTGGATGTTATATAGRAAATTATATTAAGGAAGTTCCTTTGATATTGTCACAAGTTGGTTTCGATTGGGGTGGGTTCTTTGGTCAAGGTTTTGAGATCACACGATAAAGGTATACACTTCAAAAATGATGGCAGATGATAAGATGAGATACAAAATTCGAAGAAAACGTTTATTGTCAGGAAGACATTCACGCAGAGAGAACTTTTGTTGCTGCGCATTCATGYGCCCATTACGTAGGGTGATCAGCCACTGTAGATAAGGTTTTTTGAGTCATGTTGCTAGGTAACCCAAGAGGGTCGTGATTATAGTTCTTGATTCATCTATCTCAAATAAATATTGGAATGTGGATCGTCGACATTTTTCTTGTGGTTTGGTTGKTSTTTAGCGCACGGATCATGTGTTGGCCATTTAGAGGTATCACTGTTTTCAAAATAAATCATAAGTTTACGAGTTGTCTTACCAACTAATTTAACCCCATTTAAAGATTTTTTAAGTTCTCCTGGTACCTCCTTGCATCCCGGCTGATCCAAAACAATTTGTTTAATAAATCTGCAATCTAGGCTTCCAGCAGTTTTGGTATAAAGACTTCCACCSTTAGGAAGACAGGCAACCCAGTTATTGATGTTCGATTTGAACAGAAATTCGCTGCCAARGGTTTTCCAGATATTGAAGTCAATGGCGTTCATGTCSGTKTCATTCTTAGGYGGAGTGTTGGATTCTTCAACAGTGATACTGCC